AAGGGAGCTTGTATTGGAATATTTCCAGAAGGAGGAAGTCATGATTAAACAAGATTATTACCACTTAAACCAGGAATTTGTATTATGGCATTAGGAGCTAGTTAAAAATTTAACACTAAAGTTAAACTCTAACCAGTTGGTTTAAATTATTTTAAAGGGCATAAGTTTAGATCAAAAGTAATCATAGAATTTGGAGTACCTTATGAAGTAAGTTAAGAATTAATAGATTTATATGCAAAAAATAAAAGAGAAGCAATAAGCAATTTGCTTTATGAAATTGAAAGTGTATTAGATCAATATTTATAATTTATAGTAATTGAAAACTGTAACAATATAAGCTCCTACATATTCAGATTTATCAGCAGTAATGATTGTTAGATCTCTCTATTTACCTGATAAAGCAAGATTATCAGCTTAAGACAATTTAGAATTAGTAAAAAGGTATTAAATTATTTAAATAAATAAGATTTTCTTCTGCCTTTTATAAATTAGAAAATCATCCAGAAGTAAAAGAAGTAGTTAGTTAAGTGAAAATGTATAATTACAAATTGAAGGCACTTGGTGTATATGATTATTAAGTAATGAGAATGGAAAAAAATACATTTAAAGATATTTATAAGATAGCTTTTAATTTATTTATGGCATTATTGAGTTTATCATTTGCATTACCTGGATATATAATGACTATTCCTATATCTCTTTTATTAAATACTTATACAGAGAGGGAAAGATAGAAGGCATTAGCTAATTCTAAGGTAAAATTGAGTGGTAAGGATGTAATAGCTTCTTATAAAATATTGGCTTCAATAATGATTGTACCAGCAGCAATTGCTATTTATACAATTTTATTTCATTATGCTTTGAAGAAATGGAATTTTATAAGTAAAGAGAAATAATTAAAATTGACTTTGATATTTTTCTTACTTTGGCCTTTATACATTACTGCAATGATAAGATCAAATGATGGTTTGATTAGACATTCAAGAAAGGTAAAAAGTCAAATATTATTTTATTTGTATTAAAGTAAATATAGAAAACTTAAAAGATCAAGAGAATAACTTTAAGATAGAGTATTATATTATAAAATTAATTAAGATTCGTAAGATGGTTGATATGTTGGGAGAAAATGTAGTGGCTGATTTCAAAAAGAAAAGAGTGTTTTCTTTTGATGCAAAGAAGGATAATTTAGATATTGATAATGTATTTTGTTCATTAGAAGAACTTGGAATCTGAAAATCAATATATATAATAATAATATGATTAATATTTTATTAACATTTACAATCTTAGTTTTTGTACAAAGCTAAATTAAGTTAGAAAATCCAATTAAAGATTTGAAGATAATAGAAGTGGAGAAAAGAGATGAATAATAATTAATTGAAATGATTCCAGAATAAACAAAAAGAGTTGTACAATATAATGATTCTAAAACAACTATTGGTATGAAAGTAACTTCAAGTAATGAAACATTATTGAAATGTCTTTCTTATGATAAAAATATTCTCTTTGAACCTTATATGGTTAATGAAATCAAATTATTATTCCCATCTATAAATTCATATTATACTGATGAGTCATTGAAAATAAATAGAACAGCAAATGTAAATGATCCTGATTTTATTATGAAAAATCCTGTTTTAGTAGGATTGGCCAATACAACATCATAAGGTTTTATTGTTTTAACTAGCAATCATTTAATATATTTATTTTAACTTAGTTTTTCATAACTTTCTAATAAGTTTTCAATAAAATCAAATTAAACCTTTAATTTTAGTGATTTAAGATAAACTTAATATGAACCTGTTTCACCATAACTTATTTGGTTTGATTAGAAATCATGTGTTCTTATAATATTTCCATAATAAATTATAATTGGAAAATTAATTGATGGTCAATTTTCATTTAAAAATAGCAATATTTCTATATCTAATGAAGAAGAATATATTGGAATTGCAAAACTTCATAAAGGTTATCTATTTGTTGCTAGAGGTAGATTAGGAATTGATATTTATTCAATTAATGAATAAGGATAATTAATTTAAATTTAAAATCTTTATAATCAATTATCAAATGATATTCATAATATGTATATCTAAGATTTTGATTTTGGTGGATTTGATAATAATTATATCTTTATTCTTGATAAATATTAAGGATTCATGATTTATTAAATTGATAATCAATAATTCACTATTACTAAATGGTTAGATTCTATATTAGAAATTAAAGGAGCAAAATTAATTAAAACATATATTAATATTATTATGATAATGGTTGAACATAATTCATATAATCATATATTAGAATATTGCATTTATTCATAAGATTAAAAGTTATTTTATATAAAAACACATTATTTAGATGGAAAATATTTTGATATTGATATTGAAGATTAATTTGCCATAATAAGAGGCTATGATGGACATAAAATAATTTATCATTCAATTCATGAAGGATTTCAAGTAAATTACAATTAACCAATAACAGATGAATCTTGGGAAGATGGAACAGAACTATAAGAAGATATTGATTAATATGCAATCATTCCATAAATGTAATCCTTTTATTTGACTAAACATTTAAATTAAGTATATAATTTAATTAATTGTAGAGTTTCTTAGTAGCAATATCATTTAGAACTCTTATGTTTATGAGATTTATTAGAGTTGAACCATATGTAGAATGTAAATTAACTAATTTAGCAACTAAAAATAGTTAAATAACAGTCAATGCTGTATTAAATTCAACTTGGTGCAAAGAAAAATTTTAATAATAAATAGTTTATAATTAATCATTTTATTCTGATTTAATAATGTGTAAAAAAGAATTAGATTTTTCTATTAAAGTTATTAATACATTAGAAGAGGAATAAACTAATTACTATTACATAATTATAATACTAATAGCATCATTAATTTTATTATGCTTTTTATTGATTGCTTTAAGAATATTCTTTGCCAAATATAGATAAGAATAATCAAGTCTTGAAAGTGTAATTGATTAATTAGGAAAAAGAGGATATACGGCAGAAAAATCATAAGATTAGATTTCAGGTTTTTGATTAATGAAATTTATGATATATTTCAATTCAATAATCAATTACTATAAGTTTTTAATAAATATTTATAAATTTCTAAATATCATTTTTAATACTATTGAACTTAATCTTTTAAATTCTTAATCTAACTCTTAAGAGTTAATATCATTTCATCTTTAGATTTTGCATTTGAACTTTCTTTAAGTTTATCAAATTCTCTTTCATATAATAAATCTCTTTATATAGAATCAAATTATGTATTCTCCTTTTTATCATAATTTTTTTGTTTTTATGATTAAATTTAAGATAAAATGAGTTCATCTTTATCATAATCTTTTTCTATATAACCATTAACAAATTCTTCTGCTTCTTATAATTCATTAACAGGTACTTAATTAACTTAAGGTTTAATTTAATTTAAATTAATAACTTTTGGTTTTCTAATTGGTAAATCACTAGTTGATAATTTATATGGATTGGCAATATTACTTTATAGTATTTATTCATCTCTTAAATCATCTTCATACAAAACTTGTTTTACATTAGGCATTTAGAATTGAGGAGCTGGTTATTTTTATTTTTTATCTTTATTTACTTTTGAATCCTCAACTGTCTATTCAAATTGATTAAGCAAATCTGATAGTATTGTTGTATGTTTTTATGCCATTATTGCAGTCTTTTCTTCTATCTAATTACCTTAAATCTTATGAATGAAACATAATAAAACTTCTAATTAATCTTATTTTGTTGATAAATTTAAACTTTCTATTGAACATAATAATTATGAAATCTAATCTATATAAGTTAATAAACTAGATATTTATTCATCTAAATCTGAAAAGTATCTATAAATATAATCTCCAATAATATTATGTTCCATTACTTTCTATACTCTTTCTACAGTATCAATCTTAATTTAATCATTTATTAAGAATCTTATATTGTTTAATAATTCTTTTATAAGATCAAAATTAGTTTTATCTTTATTAGACAGTATATTAAAAGCATTAGTGATTAATTCAAATGGTAAAAGTCTATCACCATCTATTTAAGCTTATTTCTCTTTATTTTATGAAATATTATAAATTTCTTTAGTTTTCTAAATAAATTTCATAATTTATTCTACATCAGATCTTCGATATTTTTATTCATATAAAAAATGAGCAATATCAACTAATTTAAAATAATTTCCTTTTATTTATGTAGAAAATTTCTTAATAAAATTACCAACAGTTTATAAATATATTGAATTTAAAGCCTATTAATCTTTATATTTATTAATTAAATCTGGATAACCTACAGGTGTATAATTCTCATTAGAAAGAAGAGTGCCTAAATATCTACAGATAACTCTTTTTTCATAAAAGGCACTCTCCTTTTATAAAAAGAGTTCTTAAAGTGATTCTCTACACATTGCTGCAATTTGATCAGTCTCTTAATTTTTTACATATATTCTTGTATCTTCTTATTCAGCAATGTTTCTAAATGCTAATTCTTCAAATCTTTATAACATTTTCACTTCCTGAATTTTAGTTTACAATAACATAGTTTTAATATTTTTATAGCTATTCTAAATATGAAATATTAACTTACAAAATAATTTCTTAGATAAATACAAAGACTAATATTTCTTTATTTTGCAGAGTTTTCACTAATCAAATTTCTGATTTTAGTTTTTTCTTTATAAAACTTTTTAAAGTTAAATATAAAAGCTTTCATAGAAATCATAGGAATTGTTTTTGATTACTATTATTATTAATTCTTATCTATATTATTTGAATTAAGATTTTTTTCATTTATAGTATTTGTTTTACTGCTTTTTGTTTCTTTTGGATTATTTTTTTTTGAAACAACTTCAACTTTACTTTGTTTGTTTTGATTATAAAAGATTTCAAGTTCATCATCGTTATTCATTTTAATTTTATATTTATATATATATATATATTAATAATAAATTAATTAGTCATTCTTAAAATAATAAAAATTTGAAATCTTCAAATTCTTATTCCTTTTATTGATTATTACTAAGTGCTCTTTTAATATAGAATTTCTTCTTTTGATGCAATAAATTTATTTATTATTCAATTGTGTTTCTACATAAAAATCTGACTACTTTAACTTGATTTTATTATCCAATTCTATCAGCTCTACCTATAGCTTAATCTTCAATTGCTGGCTAAATAATATATTATATTAATTTTACATTCCACCATGGATCTACTAAAAAAACATTACTAGCCATAGTTAAATTTAATCCTGTTGATGTTGCTCTTAAAGATAATATAAGTGCTGTAACATTTTATTATTCTTTAAAATTTTTAATTATTTTTTCTCTTTTATCCACTGTCATTTAACCAGTAATACGATAAGCAATAATTCCATTTTCTTTAAATAGATTTTCTAATAATCCAATCATTTCAATCCATTAAGTAAAAATAAGAACCTTTTCCTTTTTTTATTTAATCACTTTAGTTTCTTTAATAACAGCTTCTAATTTTGAACTAAGTCCAAATTATAAACTTTATAATTCTTCAAATACATTTTCATTTTCTACAACAACTTCAATTAAATCTTATATTGTTAATTTAGTACGACAAGATGGACAATTTTTAAGTTTAATTACTGTTTCACTAAAACATCTAATTTATATAATTATTATATTACTCTTTACAATAAATATGTCCACATGAAGATAAACTAAAAACACTAATTTAATTTTTAGTGCATATTAAACATTCTGTAATACTTCCATTTTTTATATTTTCTATTAAATTTTATTTATATTCTTCTGTTATTTTATTTCCATTATGAGTTTTTTCTAAAAAAAATTTATCTATTCTCTCTAAAACCATTTCTAAAGGTGTTTATTATAAATTAATATCTTTAAGAGCCAATTATGGATGATTACATGCTACTCTTAGTTTATTAATTATCTAAAAAATATGAACATAACTTTGATTTGCAGTATTCTTCACATAATTTTTGAATAGATTTTATGAACCAGATAATAACTTTTTATAAAGCATTTTCTCTTTTTAATCCAATTCAACCCAATGAATAGTCTCAACTACTTATTATAAACCTTCAAATTATTATGAATTCTTTGTTCTTCTTAATATTATGGGTTATAGTATTTAAGCTAAAATTCTTTATTGATCATCTTCATTTTCTTCTTTATTTACATATGTATTCCACCAAAAACTAAATAATAAATATTATATTTTACTATTCTGAAAATGTTTCTACTTATAAAAATTAAAGTAGACTGAATAAATCATCATGTTTATTCTACATAGGTGTTCCTGTTAAACACCATCTAAATTGACTTTATAAAGATATAGCACTTCTAGTTTATAGTGTAGATCTAGTTTTTATATTATGAGCTTCATCCAAAATAACTCTATAATAATTTTATTTAAACAAATTATTTTCTTTTTTTGCTTTTTCTAATTATTTCTTAGTTAATTTTTTCTTTTTTTATTAATTTTTAACTTCTTCTTTCTATTCCTCTGATATTTTTGTATTGCTTATAGAATATGAAATTGATTCATCAGACATAGAATCACTAGAAAAAGACTAATCTTCTTCCTAAAAATTTTATTATTTAAGTTTTTATGATTATTTTTATTATTATTATTATTATTTTTATTATTTTTATTTTTATTCTTCTTATTCTTATTATTCTTATTTTTATTCTGATTATTCTGATTCAATTTCATTTATTTATGTCCATATTGAATAATCAGATGCCAAAATAGCATAAGTTGTTAAAATTATATCATAATCTTTTAATTTGATTTTCTAACTTCGAGATTATTATTTATAATATACTAATACTTAAAGACTTCTAGGTTTAGAATGAGTTTAAATTTCTTTTTCCCATTATAATAATACAGATTTTGGAACTACTATTAATGTTTATTAACCTTTTTTATGAGTTTCCAATATCAATGCTAATGCCATAATTGTCTTACCTAATCCCATTTCATCTGCTAATATTCCACCTTTAGTTTCTTAAACTGGTATAAATTCTTTAGAAATCTTTCCTGTAAATGTATTTACATAAAGTGTATCACCATTTATAAGTCTGAGTTATTACCATAAAGGTGATAATTTTTATTTTTAATCTTTATTTGATTCACTTATATGACCTTCTCTCAAAAGCATCCAATATAATGCTTATTTTTAATGTTATTTTAATTATGATAACATTTACTTAGGTGTATTGTATTCTTACAATTAAGTATTGCAAACAAATATATTATTTAAATCTTATTATAAAATATCTTCATTTTATTTTTTTTATTGAAGTTTTGTTTCTTCAAAATAAGATTCTTGTTATTAATTTAATAAATTTGAATGATTTTTTTATGTTTTATCTACTTGTACAACATAATCAACATAAAAATAATCTAAAATTTGATTTTTAGAATCTTCATAAATCCTTATTTTTTCATCACTCAATAATTCTATTCCACTATCTTCATTTAAATTATTAGTAAAATTTTCTCTTTCATCAATAAAGTTTTAATGTTATTATTAATATAAAGCATCATTTAAATAATTATTTTTTAATGGAACTGTTGATAAAAATATTGTTTTGAGAACATAATCTGAATATGTTGGTTATTATTATTTAACAACTGAACTCATTGATCTTCTAATAAAACTAAGAATTGCTTCATAAAATGCAACTGCAACACGTTAAAATTAAATATGAAAAAGAGGATGAATCTTTTCAATTTTAGGTTTATATGGTTAATTATTTGATATATATTTAAAACCTCCTTATTTTTATAATGCCAATTTTCTAATCAAATCTTAAGGAAATAATTTATTATAAAAATGTTTATTATTAATATAAGTATTAAAGTAATTGTGATTCTCAATAATTGGTCTATGATAAGACTTCATTAATTAATTTATAGGTTATTATTTGTATCTCTCATGAAAATAACAATATTATGTAAAAAATATTTTAAATTACTTATCTGATTTAACAAGTGCTGGAGTTTCAACTTAAATGTTCATAAAGTCAAACATAAGTAATAAAGAAAGTCTAGCAAATCTTTAATATTCCATTTTGATTTCTTCTTAATGAAATAATTATTATTATTAGTATTTTTCATATTTTGGCATACCTTTTTTTATTCCATTTTTTCTATTATACCTTAAAATTTTCAGTTCATAATTGTCATTTATTGCTTATTCTGTAAAGAATACTTGAATTTCTGTTAATGTTATAGTTTTATTTTCAACAACAAAGTCAACAAAATTTACTCTTAATTTAACATAGCCAGCATTGATTAAGAAATACCATAATTCATCAAAAACATGTTCAATATACCCATATTTATTATAAAGTTTATAAATTTCTTCATCTCCTTTTTTTACTTTGCATAATAAAGTTCTATTCTCTTGTAGAGTTCCTCCTCCTATTACAAATAATCTTTTTTGATGAAATTTTAAATCCTTAATTTTTTATAATGGAATTGATAGAATGTTTATCTTATATTTTTATTTTGGATTATTTCTTTTTGCAAATCCTTCATCTGTTTAAAATTTACATAAAAATTTCCCTATGTAATTAGATGGATATAATTAGTCCTCTTCTTGTTTTTAATTTTTATATATCATAAATAAAATAATGAAATTTATTAACAATTTATATTATAATATCTGATTTAATAACATAATTTCATTTTAATAGAATTATTTATTCAACTAATAATCATTACATTTTTATAGCTATAAAAAATATTTTTATTGAATTATTTTATGATAAAAATTTAATATATATTAATTATTATAAATTAATTTATTAAAGAATTCATATTTTTGAGTTATGAGCACATTAAAAGCACAACGTATACATTGTTAATTATACTAGCTCGATTATACTCTAGTAGAGAATCTATTTTAACACTTAAGGCTCATTTATCTGGTAAATAAGCTAAAATTCCTAAAAATCCTACAATGGAAGATTATATTACATATATAAAAAAATTATCTAATAGACTCAAATAAGGTCCTTTAGATTTTTGGATTCCTAATGTTTTTAGACGTTTAATTTAAGTGATTAGATTAATGAGTTCTGAAGATGGATTCTTTCCAATTAAAGATAAAGAAAAGAATTTTAAAGAATTAGGACTTACAATATTAAGAAAATCAATTAGATCTAAAACAACAGTTGAAACAGGTTCTGAAACAGGCTCAAATGCTATTTAATAGGATGTAATATTACCTTCAATTGAATAAGTTTTGGAAGAATTAGAAGCTCATTCAGATGATATTAATACATTTGTAATTTCATATTATTATTATTATATTAATAGGCATCAACACATTTTTTTACAAATGAAGTGCTTTTAGTTTATGAATATTCAACAACTGTGTTAAATTTCTTATTATCAGCAAAAAAGACAAGAAACTTTGAAATCATAGTTTTAGAGAGTGAAACTGAAAACTTAGGAAAACAATTTGCTACTGACTTAGGTAAACATAATTTGAATGTTACTTTAACACCCTTTACTAATGCATATGCTATTATGTAAAGAGTAAATAAAACCCTTTTGGGAGTAGATGCTATTCTTAAAAATGGAGGTCTATTAATGCATCCAGGAACATATGCAATTTGTGTTTTAGCTAAATAATTTGCTGTCCCAGTTATTGTTCTATCTGGAGCACATAAATTGACTCCAAAATATGCTTTTGATTAAACTACATTCAATCAACTTGTATCACCATTAAAAATTAATCCAAATTCTACTATTGATCAAATGAGCATTGGAGTATAATTTCTTATTTAATTATTAGATTACATTTGATTATGTTCCACCTGAATATATAAGTTTATATATCACTAATTAAGGTTAATATACACCATAGAGTATTTATTAATTGTTTAGTGATTTTTATAATGTTAAAGATGAGGACATTTGAATATTTGAATATTATATAATGTTAAAGTAGAATAAGTAAAATAATAATATTTAATATATATTATGAAATTCAAAACCCAGAGCGATTAGAATGTTTTTTAGAATTAAGAATTGCTTTTGCTGGACAAATCTAAAGGGATTTATCACCGAAATCCAATTTAGTTATTGTTGAAAATTATCCATCAAATGTTGGCACACTTTAAATTTAAGTGTTAGTTTTTGTTGGTCTAGTTTTCTTTGCTTTAAATGGTCTAAATGCTCTAGAAGATGTAGTGGATCCAAAAAATGGTAATCCTGGATTTATTGGATTACTTAACTTTCTTATTATTCTAATTACCCAAAACTGCTATGAGCACCAAATATAAGGTTTTTTTCTCTATTAATTGGTGTCCCACTATAATTCCTTTTATATTCACTTGATCCTATAAATTAGAGATCTTTCATAACTGTTGGATGATTTTAAGGAATAATATTCACCTTCTCATCTAATAATATATATATTTATTCACTTTCAGGCATTTTAGTATGAGTCAATTAATAAGTAGAGCCAGCATGAAATGGTTATACAAATCTAGGTTGTTCTGGTTTATATGAAGTTTATGGTCTCTATTTTGGATCTTTGAAATCAAGCTAAAATAACTGTTTTTTATTACTCTTTGAGTTGTTTCAAATTTCATAGTATAATCATCTTTATAAGTTGGTAATTATGAAATTGATTTAATTCTTGATGGCTATTTTTCAACAAAGTCTTATTGATACTATGACTTCAATGGAATTCCTTATTATTCTTTTAATCTTTCTTATCCACACTTACATCCACCACATATGCATAATCCACAAACACATTGATCTATAATTTTTGAATACATTAAACCTATAACATGATTAAAATATGTAGCATTTTTCTCTAACAATTTATTGATTTGTTATTGATCATTCTATGTAAATTTACCAGACATTAACTTTGAATTACTAACATTGTAATACCTCATTTTAAGACATAGTATAAGCAGTCTAAGGTCTAAGTCTATTGCCTATATTAAAGTTCATTTAATATTATTATTATATAAAAAATACTGTTTTGGATATGATATATAATAAATAATAGATTTTAATTTTACAACACTAACCTAATATCTTAAATTTGTTATCTCTACTTTGCCATTAAATTTTCATTATATGGAATTTTTTTCAATAGTTTATTTATTTTGTTTGCCTCTAATTAAAATATTTCAAATAATTCTTGTCAAAAATAAATAAGGAGTCCTTATAAATTTCATTAATCTTAAAATATATATTAGGAAGAAAATCTTTATAAAATTGATTATGATTCAAAAAGGCTATAAATTTGAGATATCTATCATTTTAATTGTATTTTGGATAATAAAACAATATTGATATAACTTATTCAAATAAATTGATATGTGTTGAGAAGTTTTATTTTATTATATATATGTGATCATATGTAAGTTGATTCAAATACATATTGATTATAAAGGAGTTTGCTAAAATGAATCTTTCTTCTTTATAATACTTCTTTTTAATTACTTTCATTTAGTAATAACAATTTATAAACACTCCAATAATGCCATTAAATTTGTATAAAGAAAAACATAATTTTGGAGAATGATTTTTTACCTAAGATTTTTCTTATAGCAAAATTTATAAATACAAATTTGGAAAGTAGAATTAGAGTTTCATTTAATTTCATCTGAATCAATATATTATATTTATAATTTTAATAGAATATTTCTGAAGTGAATATAAAAATATGGAATAATTTTAAAATTCATTATTTTGAATTTAATATTGATGATTATGTTGTGTTTGAATAAGTTATTAGTTTAATTAAATTTGAATTCTTTATTATGTTGTCATTTGAGAAAATAAACTTAAATAGATTTAATATTAAAAGGAGATGTATAGATAACTTTTATTTATAATTGTTTGTCCTAACGGTAATAATTGTTGTATAAATAATATTTAATAATTATATTTGAAGTAAACAAATAAATCAAATGATTAATTAACCTAATATCATAATAACAATAGTGTTCATCTTATCCAACTCTATATATATTAGATGATATATTTATACAGTCATCTGATTCTTCATATTCTTCTAAATTGAGTTTTTCTAAGACTAATCCATAATAATCTGATCTAGTATTAGTATTAGCACTTTCAAATTTAGATGAGAATTTTGAAGTTTTTTTTTAATTTGGTGTGCAAATAATTTTTTCGGCTTCATCAAGAACATAGTTTTCACAATTTACACATTTACAACCAGAACCACAACTTTTACCAGAATTGAAACACTCACAATATTTTTTCAAACACATTGACTTTTAACATGTACAACCCTATGATTAATGTAATATATTACATCTTTGAATCGTCTAGATCTAAATCTTTTTCGGTTTCTATTTTGATCAAGTTCTTCAATAACATTCAAAACCAATTTGTTTGAAGTCTTATTTTGACAATTTTAACATCTGCCTATTGAAATAGAAAATTTGATAATTACAAAAAGATGAACATAATCTTCCTTTAGCTAAACACTCACAATACATTTTTCTACATCCAGATCTACTACAATTACAAGGATCATCAGATGGTAGAAGGATAGAACCTTTCTTTTTTGAAGGTTCTGGAGAGATTAATATATTGTCAGGAATAGTGTGTTACAACTTAATTAACTAACTCATGTCTAAAGAAGAGTCTTTATGTTCATCCATTTCTGGACTTGATGAAGATTGTTGTTCTAACAATTATCTTGCAAATTAGATGAACTAGTTGTTTTATTACAACTACATTAAATTAATTAAAAAACACTTTTTGTATTCTAAATAAAAATACCACAAAAAATTAATATAAATAAATGTTATCTTCTTTGAAGTAAATACTAGCAAAATAAAAGGATATTCTAGTGGTGATTCCTGCTTTTTGTTCTTATTATCTACTTACTCAACATTTGATTTCATTTGAACTTTCTGAAGGTTAATCTATGCATCCAACTGTAAAAGATGGTGAATTAGTTATTGTTTAAAGAGCATTTTATAAGATTTAAAAAGGAGATATTATAATAGCCAAATCTCCTGTTAGACCTGATTATACAGTTTGCAAAAGAATAGTTCATTTAGAAGATGAAATTGATCCAAATGGTAATAAGGTACCAAAAAATCATGTTTGGATTGAAGGAGATAATGGGAAGGTCTCTTTTGATTCTAAATTTCATGGTCCTATTCCAATCAATTTGATATAAGGAAGAGTTATTTATTGAAAAGGTGTTTGAATGTGAGTGTATACTTTATCAGTCAGTATTATTAAATTAATTTACTAATGTAATAAACCTCATCGTATAAAGGTAAGAGTTGTGTTAGATTTTTCAAGTTATTCTTGTTGGAGATAGCAAAGTTGGAAAGACAAGTTTCTTTATTAGAGCCACCAAGAATATTACCCCATAATAACCTCAATCTACTATTGGAGTTGAATATGCCTCTAAATAGATTGTTTATAAAGGGTAATTAGTGACATTGAAAATATGGGATACAGGTATGATAATATTGATTTAGCTGGATCAGAAAAATATAAGTCTGTGACATCAAAGTATAATTCCAACTATTTAGTCATTATCGTTAATCTTAAGGAGCCTTAGTATTTTTTGATTTAACAGATCTTTATACCTATGAAAATATATAAAATTGGCTAAAAGGTACATAATTATGAAAAAATAACAAAAAAGATATACAAAATTATGCTGATGATTCCGTAGCTATAATAATTGTTGGTAATAAATTGGATCTTGTGAATGAAGTTTAGAATCTTCGTTGTATTTCTTAAGAAAAAGTGTAATAGATGTGTAAAGACTAAAATTTACAATATGCAGAAATATCAACTAAGACTGGAGAAGGAATAAATGAATTAATTGAATTACTAGTTAAGACTTTGTAGACAAGAAAAATTTAGAATGTACAATAATAAGAAAGACAAAGATAAAATTGTTGTCATTGAGAATTCTTGATTATATTTGTATATGTGATATACATTTATAAGTAATGATACTTCTTATATATATATACAATTAAGTAATAAAAAAGAAATGAAGTCGTTTTTTAATTAATATAATAAATGAGAATAGCAATTTTATTGGTATTGATTGCAATATCATCTACAACAGAAACTCATATCACAGCTATAAAGCAATTAAGAGAAGTAATAAATGTTAAGTATATTTCAGAAAACAAGAATCACTCCTTTTAGCGATTATTTTTATGGGATGCTTGAATTACATTAATCAAGTAAATTAGGTGAAGTAGTCACTATTGTTTAATCAATGTTAGACAAACTCATTGCTGCATCTGGGGCTAATGAAGCTGAACATTCTTCTGTAATACTATTTCTAATTAATTTAGTAACAAGCCAATTATGAATAATAAATTTCTAAATTAGAAAATACCTTAGAAACAACTGAAAGTGAACTTAGTTCAGTTAATTAATAAATAAATGATTTAACTTCTGATCTATCTTCACTTACTCAATCTTTGAGTTTCTAAGGTTAATAACTATTATTGTTATCTAATTAAATTACATAATTAAGTGATAATCATTAAGAAGAAGTAAGAGCATCAGAAGAGAAATTCAATAATAACTCTAGGTATTTGGCAGCAGTTTAAGAAGTATTAAGATTTTTAAGTGATACTCTTTTGGGAAATACTAGTTTAATTGAAAGAGAAAGAGCAATTGAAGCAGCTAAATAATCTTTGGGAGATAAACATCCAATTTCTCTAATGATTTAAATGACATCTTAATATGATGATAATACAATTAGAAGAGTTATTACTAAATTAGAAGGAATAGCATAAAATGTATAAGAAAGATTAGATGCTATTAATACTTCTTCAAATAATTCAGAACAATAATATCAAACATTAAGAAGCCAATTTGAAACCACTTACAGTAATTTAGATAAGGATAAATAATTCAATTAAAGATAAGCAACTGCTAAAGACAATGACCTAGTAAAATTAATTGGAAATTATATAATAGGCATCAGCCAAGAGAAGATAATAAGAATTACAAGAACTTATCTCAACATCTTAGGAATTGCTTGATTAAACAAGAATTGCTTAAGACAATGAAAATACAAGTTATACAAGCAAAAGATCACATATTTCAGAAGAAATTAGCATTGTATAAAGTGCTTTGGATCTATTATCACAATTACCAGCTTAATGATATGAATGAGAATATTCAAATAAAATAAAATTTTATTATATTTTTATTATGTTTATTGTGTACCCACAACCTTAAGTTTATATAGTCTAACAAACAGTACCCATTTATTAGAGCTTACCTTTTATAAGAGTAAGACTTACTTTTAGAATTAGCCACCAACATCAGTTTAACCTTAAATTAGATCTTAAATTCCAGCTCAAGTTCTTAGTCCAGATAAATCAAGAGTAACAGATGTTATGATTGAGACAATTAACAAAAAAATTGAAATAATTGATAGTAGAATATGCTAGATTTAGAAGTCATTACCACCAAAATAGAATCAAAACGGAAATCAAACTAAGAAATAACATACTAATACTTCTCAAGATGAATTTAATAGTCCAATTACACCAAAAAGAACTGGAAATTTCAAAAGTTATTTCTTAAACAAATATGATAATTCTTAAGAGAGAATTCGAATTAGTAAAAAGATTTTAGAAGAACATGAAAGAAATACTAAAGCCAGCAAAAATACTCAATCCTCAAATAAAAGAGATTAGAGTTTTTAATCATAAACTAATAATAAATAAACTACTTATGACATTAATAAAAAAACAACTATTACCAAAAAGATTATATATATGGGTGAAGAAGCTTTATATGAAGGATAAACAGATGAAAGAGGTAGAAAATAAGGTATGGGAACATTATTTGATAAAGATGGAAAAATAATATACACAGGTTAATGGAAAGATGATGTTTTTTGGGGTAAAGGTAAATTAATGTTCAGAGAGTCTAAATCATAGAAATTATAATTAAAGAACTTTATGAATTTTTCAAATGTTGTTAGAAATAGGGAAACATATAGTGGTAACTTTGTAAATGGAGAAATTGATGGAATAGGTTAAATGCAATTTATAGATTGTTTTGATTCATATTTTGTATTTTATGGTACTTTTAGAAAAGGAGTATTTCATGGAAAAGGATGTGTTTTATCAAATTAAGGCAAAGAAAGTTTAGAAGGAGAATGGGTTAATGGCAGACATACTTGATTAATAATTCATATTTTCATTAGAAATATTATTATATATTCATTAATATGTTTATATATAATATTTTGTCTATTTTAGTATGTAAAATTTAGTAAATACATAAAAATATTATTTTTGAAATTCAAAATTTTATTAAATGAAATGTTAATGTAAACTAATTAATCCTAATATATTTTATACTAATAAATTCTTTAATTTATTTATAATTTTTAAACAATTTAAATTTATTTTAATAAAAATGAGTCTTGATCCAGCAGAACCACCTATTCCTGATGATCCAGAAGAGGAAATTATTCCATATATTGGACCTCCAAAATTATTGCCTGTTGAAATTAAAACTGGAGAGGAGGATTACGAATGCATAGGAGCCATTAAATGTAAGCTATATCGATTTAAAGATGAAGAATGGAAAGTAAATTTTCTAATATATAAAATAAAGTAACGGGGTTAAGGTATCTTAAAATTCTTACAACACAAAGTAACTAAGAAGTGTAGAATAATTATGAGACAAGATGCTACCTATTTTATTAGAGCAAATCATTTAGTTTAAGAAACTATAATTAAGAGTATGTTTCATCAATTTGGATATGAATGGTTTGGATAGGATAATAGTGATGGTGAAATAAAAGTATAATAATTTTGTGTAAAATTGGAAAACGAGGAAGATTTTAATAAGTTCTATCAATATTATGAGGAATGTCGTATTTTTAATAAAGATGAAGATTGAATCTAATTATATTTTATTTTTCAAACCATTTAAATTATTTAAATTATCATTAAAAGGGACCCTAATTTTTAGAATAATATATAGAAGAAGACTATGATCTAAAGTATTTAAGATAAATTGAAAATAAAGTATTAATAACTTTACTAATAATTGATAAGATATAGTAAAAAATTATTGATAAATATTCTAAATTAAAACAAAGATTTACAGATATATAAATGATTAATTGGAGATTAATAGACAATCTTAAATTTTAATAAAATATCATAAGTAAATATCTTATGAAATATTCAAAAATTATAATCAGATTTATAATGGCAAGATTTAGTATTAATTACTTAATTATAATTTGAGAAAGATTATGAATTTCTAATTCAAATCAATTATATATAAATATCCTAGATGTTATGATTCTTATTTAAAAATACATAAGGTTTAACAAATATTTTTCTGTTAAATGGATTGAGAGAGATGTAGAAAGATTTAGATTGAGTTTGAAAATGCTTAAATATATGTATAGGTTGAAAAAGAAAATAAAAAAAATAAAAGTGAAAATGAATAAATCATTATTAATAATTACAATTTATTTATTGTTAATGAATTCTCTGATTTTTGGTTCAACTATTGAAATACCTTAATTGATAATTACAGAATTAAACAAATTAAACAAGGAAGTTGTTGTGCATTCAATAGTCACTAAAACAAATAGCAGTGCACAAAATTTATACTCCCAATTAAATCCAAATCATACTATTCAATTAAATGGGTTAACCTTTATGAAAACAGAATAATTTGTCATTTTTGTTGCATCTATTGAGGAATGTTAAAAAAATATCACAACTATATTATTATTCTTATATGTTGTTTCCTAATACATGCATTTTGTAGAAAATGAATAAGAATCAATATAAAAATTGTTTGATCAATTACCCATATCATCACTACAAAAATAGGCACCTAAAATAAGTAAATAATATTAAAGTTTATTGAAACATTTTAATTCATCCAAAAAACATTGTAAATTAGGTGGAAAACCAAAACTGATTATCCGATTAAAAATGACAGGCATAATGTTATTGAATTTAATGTTAGATTTTTGTGAATATATGAATTCTAATAGAAAAATTAATGGAAATTTATTTTTAGGAGTGTTCAATAGAGAATGTTATAGATAATATGAAGATGTGAGAAATAAGTATTATCAATAAGTAGTAAAAATTTAATCAGATTAAAGAATTTAAGATATGGGAACATTATTTCATAATTTAATGGATATTTAATAGGATGTTTTGATTAAATTATTAGATAGTGCAGCATGTTAAGAAATGAAATTAACTTTTGTTGAATTTTTATCTTATTGTAAAGATAATTAAAAGTAAATAATGTAAGATAATAATAATGAAAGTGAGAAATATTGTAATGCTTTATTATAATCATATTTAAATCTATTTATTACTGAATGTTAAAATATTGAGGAAGTTATTTAATAAAAAGATATATTTATAAAATAAAAGTGGGCTTCATTTGAGGAAATCTTAGATGGATATTTAAAAGATGCATAAGGACCAAATAAACATATGATCAATGAATAAATTACTAATATTATATTTTAAGAATGTGATAAATGGTTTGAATCACTTAATAGTCATTATATGTTTGAATTAAATAAATCTAAAGTAATTTATTAATCTTATAAATTAGGCATAATTGATGTAAACTATGGAAAATTATTAAGAATTATAAAATAGATTAGCTGAAGTAGAATCAAAGAAATTTGAATTAGAAGATTTGAATTAAGGATTGATGTTTGAATTAGAAAGTTAAAAGAGAGAAACTGAGAAGATTACTAGATTGAAAGAGTTAGCAGAAGAATTATGTTAAAATTAATTTTAAGAGTTGAATCTCAAATTAAATAAATCAAAAGAAAAAAGCAAAAAGTAAAAGGAATCATTAGAAAAGATTTAAGAAGAAAATAGAAGAATTGGTTATGAATTAAATGAAAAAAAGAAAGAATAAATTAATATATTAGTTAAAGTATAGAATTTAGAGAAGGCATTGGATTAAACTATTTAAAAATAAGAATAAGATAAATTTGAAAAAGAACTCATTTCTTTGATATAATTATTCAAAGATAGATTAGAATTAGCTTCAAGAGATAGTGTAACAAGTAATTCAAGAGCTTCAACTGATTAAAGTTCATTTAGAGTATTAGAAAAATTATAATAAAAATATGATAAAGCTAAAGAGAAATGTAGACAATTAGAAGATGAATTATAAAAAACTAAAAATCTTAATGAAATACTATAGAAAAAGAATTAAGATAATGAATTTTAAATTGAATAAATGAAAAATGATTTATAAACTAGATTAACTAAAGAAGAAGGAGATAAATTAATAAAAGAATAAAAATAAAGAGACAATGATTTATTTTAGGTTTTGACTAGTCATAAATAAACTATAGAGAAAATGAATGAATAGCATTCTCAATTATAAACATCATTTTATGAAAAATCAATATAATTATCCAATTTGGAATTCTAAAGAAGTAACACAATAACAATTTTGAGAGTATTATATTTATTTTGTATTATTTTAGGAAGCATTAAAGTTTTAATTGAAAAAACCGAATACTGTGGTCTCAATATTAAAATCTATGCCACCAGAATAATCATAAGAAATTAAAGATATATTTCATTCTGTTGGTTTGAAATTATGATTTGATCATTATAAAATGAAATCACAATATATTTGAGTAATTTCTTCAAGAGATCTACTGTTATTCTTAGATTTTGATATTTTCTTATTTAGTATTTTTAAAGATTAATGACCAATCAACAGAAATTGATAAATTAAAATGAAGACTTAATTTGATAAAAGTAGAATTGTCAATGTCTACTCTCCTAACATCCCTCCATTTAAATTGACACTAACTTTTAAAACTACTTTTAATGATATTCGAAATCAAATTATTTAAGGCTGGAGTGTCATTCCTAAAAGAATCAGAATCTTTAATTAAAATGCTCATGAATTGATAGAGCAAGATTTACAATTTGTTCTAGATGGAAATAAATTATATATCACTCTCTTCGGTTAGGACTTGGATGCAAGTATCATATTCTAAGAGTACGAGATTGTTTCAGAAATTGGTAAGGGAGGCCAAGGAACTGTCTTATTAGCAAGACATAAGTTTATTGGATCTTATGTTGCAGTCAAAATAACAAGAGATATCGAAGATGAAGACTCAATTATAAAAAGAGAATCCAAAATCTTGAAAGAATTACTTCATCGCAATATTGTTAAAGTCTTTCAAACTCTCTTTTTTTCTAAGGCTAAGGAGTGTATTATAATAATGGAATATTTAGATGGTGGATCCCTATTATAATTAATTCGAAGTAAATGTCACCTTTATTGTTTATAGACAAAGGAACAATTACTGAATAGGAAGCAAAGATCTACATAAAACAAATTGCAGAAGCATTGCTTTTTTGCCATTCAAAAACTTTTGTTCATAGAGATTTAAAATTAGAAAATATCATGTTAGTTAGTTAAGGAAATACATAGGTATAAATAAATTTTTATTAAGGTTAAATTAATAGATTTTGGATTAGCAGGAGTGGCTGGAACTTAGAGGGAAAATGAAACAATGAATGTTGGGACTCTACCATATATGCCTCCTGAAGTTCTTAATGGTAAACTCAAATTTGTAAGTCCTTGTGTTGATGTATGGGGTGTTGGAGTAATAATGTATAGTTTACTATATGGTAAATTACCTTTTAAAGGAAGAACTAATGAAGAAAAAGTTAATAACATTCTATAATGTAATTTCTAGCATGATTTAAGTGTCTCAGATGATGCTAAGGATCTTATTAATAGAATATTTGTGTCTAAACATAATCAAAGAATATCAATGCAAGAGATATTAGCTCATAGATGGATAGGAGGAAATGGATTATTACAATTTAGAAGATTACTAAAGAAATCAGATAATCCTTTTATAAATAATGTAAAAAAGAAAAATGATTTCGAAATTAGAAAAAAAAGTGTCTATGATGAATAAAAAGTAAGAATTTCACTTCCACTTATCCGTTATAGAGCTAATTCTTAAGAAACTATCATTGATATTTCTAAGTGATGTTAATTATTTGTAATTATCAAAACACATATATAAAAATATAGATATTGTAATTATATATTTTCATTTCAAAATAAATTGTTTTATTAAACAAAATTTGGATAGATAAATCAAATTTTTTTAATTTTTTATCAAATAAATTCTAGACTCTACAAAATAAAAATAATATTATTTCAAATAAAAATCATAATAAAGAGATTTAGTTAATGGAAGAATAAATGAAAAGATTTCATTTAATTTTTTGAATATAATCTTTTTATAATTGACATGTTTTATTACAATGTTAGAATATTTATGCGACATTTTGTAAAACCATAATTATATTTATAACATTTAAATTTTTAACATTTTCTCTAAAAGAAATTTTGAATAGATCATATATTGATTCCTAATACTGTTCCATTTCTTATTTTTGTTTCTATGATTTTATTTGTTAAAGATAAAATTATTTTAATAATTTATGAATGAGAGACTATTCCAATTTTTGCATTTGTTTAATTGTTCTTTAGTTTCTCTAAAAATATTTTCACTCGTTTATCAGCATGCTTCTTTTTTTCCAAAGCTATATTTTTACCTTTTTTAACAAATTTATTAACTAAATATTGTTCTTAATCCTCTTTATATGGTTTTAAACCTTATAATTTCTCTTATTTTCCAATTAACATAAATTACCAGAATTCATATTCTTCTGGCATTTCACTCATATCAAATTTAATAGGGTTTGTATTCTATTTAAATTAATTTATACATCTTATAAAATATTGGTCAGATTTCCCCATTTATAAATTGAATATTAACTGCTGATTTTTTCACTTATGTGAGGACACAATATAAATTATATTTAATTTCTTTAAGGGTGATCTTAAAACAATAATTAGGCTGTTTAAATAGTTCTTATATTTTATTTAAATAATTATAAATACCTTAAGAGAGGTGATATATAAACCTTATCAAATTCCATCTAATTTATTTCTGGTCTCATCTTTTCACATTATTTTTTGCCTAGATAATGAAGTGGAGGATCCATTAATTCATAACTATATATATTTCTATCTCTAAATTCTGTTGCTCTCTTAAAGTAATTATGCCAAGCCAAAGCATGTCTAACTAAATTGATTTTACAACTAAATACCAATGATATATTTGCTATTCTTAATATTATGAGGTGTACAATCCAATTATATTTACAATTTCTCCCATTCATGATCTTCATCATTCATATGATGTAATTTATCTTCAAAGTCCTTTGCTTCTTATAATTTTTATCCTAATAATTTGTAGCTTTCCCTCTATTCTTCTGGACATCTCTATATGGATCAACTTTTACATCTGAGATAAGCTTTGGGTATCAAACACAATTTTTTATTACATTAAATTTTTTAATATTTCAATAAATATAATAAGTATTATGGAAAATGAGATGATAATATAGTCTTTAATTAGAGTGAAATAAAGTTAATTTTTATTTCTTTAATTTGTTTAATCTAACTAATTATATATATATATATATTGATAAATAATATTAATAAAAAATGTCTTTGAATGCATAGTTTCCAAAATAAGTGCCATTTCTTCCTGGTCATGTATTTTCAGACCCTTACAAAGAAAATCATCATAAAACCTAATAATTTTCAAATATCAATGGAACTGTGCAAGAAAAAACAAATTTCATTCATGAAGAATTTGATCCAAATTTATTAGACTCAATGAAAATGGGAACACCTCCAAATCTCACTTATGGTAGTAGATAACCACCTGAAAATGATTATATTCCAAGAATTTAACCACCATGGTTGAAATATGATCGAGCTGTTTTACGATTTTATTCATATTTCTAAGAATCAGTAGTTGAAAATCCCAATGAAAACTATAGAATTAGATAAGTTATCATCTATTATTACCTTTCTGATGGAACAATCCATGTTACTGAAGTAAAAATTTAAATAACTGTAGCCTCGAGTATAAAATTCAGGCATTCCTTAAGGACTCTTTATTAAAAGATAGAAGATACCAAAGAAATTAGGAAAATAAGATTTTTATACTTGGGAGGATCTCTAATTATGCTCGAATATCAATTTCTATGATAGAGTATAATTTCAAAATAAAATTAGGTTTATCGAATTTGTGATTGTGATACATATACTAGAGAGTTTTATGAATATATGGGTAAACCATTATCTTTACCTGAATAATTACCAAAAGATAATTTTAAAGCTTAAAAAGAAACTAAAGACTTAAAAATCAATCCTCCAGATACTAAAGAATATAAGGAATATTTTGAAGTTAAATTAGGAGGAGGACATCCAAATGGAGGATTAAATAAATATCTTAGTAATGATAGAAAAGTGTTATCTTTTGATATTATTTGGGATGATGCTTCAATTGAAGGCTAATTAAATTATTACACACTCAATTATTATTTAGCAGATGAAACTTGTGAAGTCAAAGAAGTTAGAAAATAAAATTCAGGAAAAGATCCATATCCACTTATGTTGAGAAGATAAAAGATACCAAAATAACCAATTTTAACTCATTATCCAGGGATGACATTAAAAAAAGAAGAATTTTATGGTCCATTAGATCTTATATGTGGAAATTAAGTTAGAATTTATGGAAGAGATTGTTTTATTTATGGATGTGATGATTTTACTAAAGAATACTATTTAACTGTTTTAGGAATCTAATAAAAGTAATATTTAAAATTAATATATATAGACCAGCCACATTGAAGTAAGAGAGAGGAAAGAAGTTTTATCAGCCAGTTCCTCCTTATAATGGATATGGATATGAAGAGGATTCATTAGGTTCAGTTTATTCCTTATAACCAAAACCTCCAAAGAAGGATGTTAGGAAGAATTTTACTTAAGATTAATTTATTTTAAGATTTGAAGCAAGATTAATTAGTGAAATAAGAGAAGAGAATTCCAGAAGATTTATAATATCTTTTTATTGTGGAGATGATACTGTTTAAGTGTATTAAACTTCAGAAAGAAATAGTGGAATTTGGGTAATTTAATTATATAATTTAAGGGAGGCAAATTCTAAGAAAGATCTAGATAGAAAAATCCATTGACTAATGATTATTATACTGAGAAGGTATTATTTTATTGAGTATAATTAAGGATTTCTAATTGGGAGCTATTGTGTAATTTAATGTTTATAAATTTTAATTGATGAGAGCTGATGAATTTACAGTTAATTATATGAAATAGAAATCTGATGTCTTTAAAGAAGCAGATATTAAACAAATAATTGCAAAGTTAAGGATGTTTGCAGATAATTATCCTAATTTTGATTCTTTCTTAATAGATTTAATGAAGTAATTGATATATTAATTTATTATTTTTTTAGAAAATTAGATAAATAATTGAAAGGTTAGATTGAATTTGAAGAACTTGCTGTTGGATTATAAGAATTAGGATTCAATTTAACATTACAAGAGTAATATTATTTGATGAGAGAATTCGATATAAGTGGTGAATGGAAAATGAATATGTAGGCATTTTGGGAAGGAATCGGAGGCAAAAGATCTTGAAAATAAATTTATTAGAAAATAATATAACATTAACTTATGCAAATTAAAAAAAGACATTCAGTAAACCCTGAATTATAACTCAAAAATCTAAATGGCTAGTACAAATCAGTTTGCAAATCATAGCATATGATAGTTACTAAAGATTTATAGCCATCTCCTATTAAATTGATTAGAAAGTAAGGGAGACATACCTAAAGTTTTATTAATACTCATTAATCTCTGCACATTTGTAATAATCCTACTTATTAACTTATTCAATAATGTATTACTGCTGCAGAAATGATTAAAGAGAAACATAAAACTAAAACTACTCTTAAATTTTTTCATATTCGATCTTGTTCTGTACCTTGTCCTAAGATATATACTATAAATCAATTAGTTGACTCCTTATTGGATGATGCTGATTCCTAAAACATTAAGGAATAAAAGAATTTAGAGTAAATTAATATGCTTATATTAAGAGTAGAAATTTAAACTGTTATGAATTAATTAATTGAAGAAAAAAAATAGAAATAAAAAGCAATATCCTAAGGTGAAAGCCTATTTAAGTAGCAAGATCTTTCAATATAATATTTAGTAATTTATTATAATTATATTGTATAGAAATCTAGAATTGAATAGTATAAATAATTAGTTTGAATGAAGAAAGCTTAATACATATATTTTATTAACTTATTTTAATCTTAAGACTTAATCTCCTATATAATTATCTTAAATCATAAGGTTTATAAGTCAAAATATAATTACACTAAATTAAAGTGATATTTAATTAAGTATTAGTAAAATATCAAGAATATTTAATTTATTAATGATCAAAAGAATATCAAAATAGATATTGAGAATGCCTTAATTGTATTTGACAACAAGAATGATTGCTCCATTTTCTTAGCATAATCACAATCATTCTCACGATCACAATCATGATCACAATCATGATCATAATCATGATCATTCTCATCCAGATTTCTAACCATAATAAAAGGCTTAACCATAATTCACATAAGAATAGATTTAATAGAAACATAAAGAAATTGATAATGTAAATTGATATTAATTATTCAAAAGATCATAAAGTCTAACTAAGTTGTGTTATTTATGAAGGGAACACCTACTCAACCAATGTGTGGATATTCCAATTATGCTGTTTAGGTTCTATAATTTTACAAAGTGTAAAATTATCATTCTGTTGATGTTCTTTCTGATCCTTTGATGAGAGAAGAAATCAAGAAATATTCAAATTGGCCTACATTCCCATAATTAGTATTACTTTAATATTATATAATAAGTATGTAAAACAAGAATTAGTTGGTGGATGTGATATCATGATGGAAATGCACAAAGAAGGTACATTAAAAGAATTATTTAATAAAATATGATTATTAATTATATAATTATATATATTGAATGTTAAAAATAGAGGAATAAAACTATTCAAGACAATTAATAAAATAAGATAAAGAACTCTCATAATTTATAAAATATTTAGAATTACAAAATGAAGTAACTGAAAAAAACAAAGAGAAAGAATTAAAAATGAAACAGAAAGAATCAATCATACTTGGTTAAAGAGAAGAAAAGAAATAAGAGCATGAATTTTAAAGTAAATTAAAGTAATTAGAATTATCAACAATCAAAGAAAAATATAATGAATCATAAATGATGAAAAATAAAGTAAATGATTAATTATTATTTAGAGTCTTGAACAAAGATTAAATAATTAAGAATAGATACATAATTAAATTTTATAAGCAGCTAAAATAAATAGAGAAGAAAAAGCTAATATAAGAAATCTTCATTTAAGAGATTCTGTAGATTAAGCAATTGCAAAGGCTAATTAAATTCAATAAGATAAAGTAGATCATTTTAATTATTCATAAACACGTAAAGAATAATATTTATCATAATTATAAAATGAAAAGAGTTTCAAATAATAAGAAAAATCAATGAATTTTTAAATTAAACAAGAACTTAATGATTCAAATTATTAAAAAGCTTAAGATATTTTAAATGAAAGAATTTATAAGACTTTAAATAAATTAAATTAAAAGGATTCATTGTCATAATAAATATAAATAGAAAATGAAAGAAAATTAAATACTAAATTATTTTCTTAAAAAGCATCTTTAGAAAAGGGATTAACAAATGCAGATTATGCAAAAGTTAGATTTGAATAGAATTTAAATATGAAAAAATCTATGACAGAATATAAAATGAATAAATTAGATTAAATTATGTAAAGAATTAATAATTTATTTTTTTATTAGAAGAGAGAAGTAATTGATATAATAATAAGAAAGAGAAACAAGAGCTATGGTAGAATAAAAGAAGAACTAATTAAAAGAAGAATTTGATAGAAAAATGAACTTACTTTAAAAATAAAAATATTGAGAACTTTTTAGAATTTACTATATATGCTATATTATTAAAATCGAATTCTCAAAGATATTTTGCACCAAATTTGTATTTTTTGTATTCTTGAATGTAGTTTTCAGTCCATTAACTTAAGAAATCATATGGTTTTTTCTAAGGAAGCTCTTATTATTATGTATTGCTCTATAGGGATGGTTATTCAACTTCTGCAATTTCACATTCAGTTTATATTGTTGATGAAAGTGGATTTAATGGATTTAATGTTATTGTGTAAATTGCAGTTACTTTTTTTAATTTTCTAATTCTTCTTTCTTTTTTTCCTATTCTACCTTCTTTAATATATGTATTAATTATGGATTTGCAAGTTGATGGTAAAACTTTGAATTCCCTTGCAACCTATGATATTTAAAAAGAATTACTTCAAGTATTAATCTCTTATTTACAAGTACTTCATGTATAATTTATCTTCTATCCTATTTTGAAATTTTGCAATATTATTTATGTTGTTCCATTTAAATATATATTAATAATAATAAAATTATAGATAAAAATGAATGGTAATAATTTCATTCATAATAATTAAAACTATTATAGTTAAAATTATAGGTCTAAGCTATTCTTTAAATTTTTTAATCTAGTAAAAGCAATAAAAATGTACTATAGATTTTGAAGTCAAGATGAAATCATTATTGATAATAATTTTTAAATAAATTTATCTGATACTTAAAAGTAAATTAATTTATTTCCTTTATTTTAGTTATATGAATAACTATCATTATCATTTAAATTTAAGAAATTAACTGATGAAAAATTCTTCAAAAAGATTAAATTTTCACTTTATGGATATAAATTTTGAATATCGTTAATATGTAATCTTTAAATAAGTAATAAATATATAAATTATTAAGAGGTTTTGTATATAATATTCAATAAGAAATGAATAAAAATAATTAATATAAAAATATTTTATATATATTTTTGAATTAAATATATAATCCAAGTAATTCCTTGTCAGAAACTTTTTATTACAAATATAATTAAAAATCTGATTTACAATATTTTTTAATATATACTGATTACTAATTAAAAAATGAACTGTCCTTGTTGTTGTTGTATATAGGATGAGAATGAATTTGTGAGAATTAAAGATTGCAAATGCATATATTGTTATTCTTGCTTAATTGAATAAATAAAAGTGAAAAAAGATGAAAAATGTCTTGGATGTCCATAAAATTTAGATTTTATTAAGATATTTCATTAAACAAAATATGAACCATAATTATAAGAAATTTTATGCATTCAATATTTATAGAATTGTTAAGACACTTTACCTTGTCCAAAAGCTGATTGCAAATATTATGGTATTATTCCAGATGATTGTGATGGAAATTATGAATGTGAAAAGTGTCATACTATTTGGCATGAACAAAATATTACATTTTTTAATAAGCAAAAGTTATTTACTAAAGCTATGTAATTTATTGTAACAAAACCTTGTCCTCAATGTGGTGTTTTAATTTAAAAGAATGGAGGATGTCCTTAAATGAAATGTCAACATTGTAGATATATATTTTGTTGGGATTGTGATTAAGATATTTTGAAACATACAGAATTTCAATGCAATTTAATAAAATCATTTCATTTACTCATTATTTTCGTTTAAATGCTATCATTACTCTATACTATAGGATTTTTAGATCTATTCTACAATATTATCTGTTTCATATTACACTATTTGTTAATTTGTATAATATCTCCTTTATTTATAATAATACCAACATATTCAATCTATTTAGCATTTTATAAAAGATATTTTAAGAAATGTACATTGTTATTACTATCAATAATACCAACTATGTATTTAAAAGAGTATTTGGAATTAGATTTGGATACAATATTAAGTGTGAGTGTTGTTGAGACTATAGTAATGGTATTAATAATAATAAAAACATACAATAAATGATTATATTTTGTATTATAAATAATTATACTATAATTATAATAATGGATAATTGGAGGTAAAATAATTAAAGACGATTTGTTCTCGATAATGGTTCATATTAAATTAGATATGGAAATGATGTTTAGAAACACAAACAATTGAATCTTGTAGCTCATTTAAAAAAGACTGGGTAAATGATTTATGACTTTGATTCATTATTTGATGAATCTTAAGTAATGACATATTACAAACCACATGTAAGAGGAGTATTAGTAGATTTTGATAAATAAATAAATATATGGTATTATAATGCTTAATTATAGGGATAAATTTCTGAATCCAAAACTTCTAAAGGATTGTTCAATCACTTATCCATTATAACCTTTTACACCTGATTAAGTAGTCAACAAGCTATTTGATGTAATGTTTGAGTATTATAATGTTGATGCATTTTGTCCAATAAATGCTTAGAAAATGTTATATTATAATGTTTTAGCAAAAGAAGGAGTAGCTAGAAAATAATTTACATATATAATTGATTCAAGTCATAGTGCCACTTATTTAGTACCAATATTTGATGGAGAAATCATGTATAGTGGTTTAAGAAGAATGGATATAGGTGGAAGATTATTAACAAATTAATTGAAAGATAACATTTCCTTTAAATAATTTGATTTAAAAAACTATTTCTTATTAAGCAGTAAAATCAAAGAACTTTTATGTTTTGTATCAATGAATTATTTTTAAGATATGAAAAAACCTAAAAATCATTTTCGTAAATACTATATTTTGCCAGATTTTGAAATAAGAAGAGAAGGATATGCTGTAGATTTATTAAATGTAGGATTTTTAGATGAGAAATTAATTCTTGATAAAGAAAGAATAACAATACCTGAAATTTTATTTAGACCAACAGAAATTGGTTTAGCTTAAAAAGGACCTACTGAAACATTTTTTGATAGTTTATCAACAATACACAAAGATTTATAAGGATATTTTGCAGAAAATATATATTTAAGTGGAGGAAATAGTTTTTTTAGTTCTTTTTATGATAGATTATATAATGAAATAAGATAAAATTCTTCAATAGATTGGAATGTTAATTTAACACATCTTGATGATATTGATTCTGTATTTTAAGGATCATTGCATTTTAATAGAAGTTCTGAATTTTAAAATGCTTGTTTTACTAAGGCTGAATATTAAGAGAAAGGTTTTGACAATATCAAATAATATATAATATGAAATAATTTTGTATTTATAATATGTTTACATATTTTATATATATAGAATTATATTATCAAAATTATATTTGGATGATCTGGATAATCACTTTTCATTTTCATTTTTTGAGTTTCCTTATTATTGAGTTATTAATTATTAGTCTTAAGGTTATTATAGATCAGTCTATATATTTGATTGCTATTGATTTGTTACAGGAACTACTGAATAACCAAATTTATTATGATAAGCTGCTATTAATTAATCATTGGTTTTCCCTCTTCCATCAATCAAAAAGAAGTGACAATAGATAAAATATAAATAGTCTATTATAGCAAAGAACAAAAAGGCACCAAATATTTTAAGATTCTTTTCCATAAAAGGAAAACAGAAAACAACAATAGCTTAAAATGCCCATCTAAATTCTGTTGCAATGAAAGTTCCATCACTATCATTAAGTTATGGTACAATACTCTAAAAATATATTAATTGAATATTCATACCCAAGCAGCTGGACCTAAAGTTGATCCAAATGTCATAACCAAAAGTAATAATAGAATAAATATAGCAAATTCATTTTCTGGTGTTACATCTCTAGAAATAATAGCTACTGCTAAATTAAGTGATCCAATAACAAAAGATCCAATCACTTTTAAAATATTACAATTAAATACATAATATAAATTTATTTCCTAATTTATTGACCATATATATAGTAAAAAACTGAGCAACAAATCCTGATAATCCTAAACAAAATGTATATACAGTTTTCTAAACAACATCATCATCAGCCATATCAGCAAATATTTAAGCACTATAATAAAATACTGCAAAAACTCCACACCATATTTATACTAACATCTAATGGTTTAATTTATTCAATTACCGATACTATTCCTGTCTATAAAGTAATTAATTTCTTTCTTTCTAACACACTCCAAAATGATTTATTATTTTATTTTGATTATTCAGTGGCCATTTTATTGTACCTTTCAAATTATTCATCAACATATTGATCTTTATAAATTGAACATATGACCTAATTTATTAATTTTTAATACATATTTTGCTCGTTCTATATTTCCCCTTTATATCAATTATTCAGGACTGTCATAATTAAAGACAAATTGCATTATGCATGAACGAATAATACATATTAATGTTGGGAATAAAAACACTACTCTCCACCAATTAGATGTAGGTCCTGAATAACTAAAAAAAATATATTTCAGTTAAATACTCTATATATCCGATTCCCATTAACTATCCAATTGCATATCCAGTATTTATCCCATATCCAACGAACATACTAAACTAACCGAAATATTATGTTGGACAAATTGATTTTATGTAAACGGGCATCAAATAACTAGATATTCCATTAGAAACTCCGAGAAAAAATCTAATCACTACAATTAGATGATAGTCAGCTATAACTGCTAGTGCACTTGTTATTCCTATTAGATCTGCAATGTGAAGACATTATTTATTTGTAAATTTTTATTTTAATAAGTATCCAATAAACACTCCAGCAACATTACCTAATGGAAGAATTCCAGCAAGTAAACTTAGTCTTTCTGTTTTTTCTTCTTCACTTATACCCCTAATTATATAGAAAGAGTTCTTACAGCACTGCAAATAATGTATCAATTGATAATGTTAAGTATGTAACAACATACCCAATATTCAATGATCCCAAGGCAATGTTTAAGCTAATCATTAAAGTTTATGCTTTAGATCGAACCATCTATTCTTGGCTTTATGACATAATTGAGCTAATGTAAATTGTTTAATAAATTATTAATTAAGTGATATGCAGATACTTGATTTTTAAATTCAAGAATCTTGTTCTTCCGGTAATTTATTAACTTTAATATATACTATAAATTAATTAGAATTTTTTGATAATTATCAATTTGATATTGAATAATTACAAAGCTCAGCATATGATAATGTCATATATTTAAAGTTCATCCTTTATCTATTCATATCCTAAATGATCAAGGTTCTCTTTCATAGAAATTTTAAAATATTTATATTCCAATTTTATCAATATTAAATCAATTTATTAGTTATAACCCTTTACAATCATTAATAGAAGAATTTGTCAAAATAAATCAATAAAATTATATCCTTATAAAATAACTAAATTTTCTTTTATTTTAACCATCTTAAATTAAATAAAAACATATATGTTTTAAATATAATATTAAGACATTGCAACCATTATTCTAATTTATCTATTCTAATTAAATATATTGCTTCTTATCTTCTTCTTTATATTCTCAATATATGAGTTCAATATTCTTATTAACAATCACATATTTTAATATATACTTTAATTTAAAAATTAGAAATGGAATCAAAATAAAGTAATTAAAAAGACATAAATGATCTTCAGTAAAGTTAATTAAGGAATCTCATATTGAAAATACATAAAATTAATAATAGATTAAATCATTACTATGATGAGGATATAATTGATAATTTTAGAAAATACAAATAAGAAGCAAGAATTATAATAACCAAATAAAAAATACTCATTTTAATTGTCAATCCAAATAGAAATTTATATATTTTTGACTTACCTAGAATAGAAAGTTTAAAAAAAGGTTCCACTATTTGCAAATTAAAAATTAAATTAAATCTAAAGACAATAAGCTTATTTGTCATATAAGCTATAAGAGATAGATAATACTTTTTAAGAATATTGGCATATTCATTAGCTATACGATTTATTTAAATAAAAATGAACTTATTGATTAAATTCTTCATGAAATAAATTATAATCAGAATAGTTATCATTTTTATATAGAGTTGACAAAGAGGATTAATCTTGTTAATATAAAATAGAATAAAGAAGTGTTAAATACATAATAGCCTTAATATGATATCAATAATATTTCTAAGAGAGTATTAATAAATATTGATATATTATTAAAAGAAGAGTTAATAAAAAAAGATAGAAAATATATATATGATTCATTTTATATTATAATAAGCTATTGAATTATAATGTTCTTGTTTAATACTCTACTTTATTTTTATTATCATAATAATTACATCATATGGGAAATAAATCATCTAAAAATAAGAAGGATTGTTTTATGACTATGTAAATTGGAAAGAGATAGCCTATTTAAGTGATTATAAGATTATTTGATCAATAATGTCCAAAAACTTGTTAAAATTTCAGAAAATTATGTTAAACAAAATATGGTGGAACAAATTTTCATAGATGTACTGAAAATTTCATTGCTTAAGGAGGAGATTATGAAAGAGGTGATGGCACTGGAGGTACAAGTATATGGGGAAATTATTTCAAGGATGAAAACTTTATTATTAAACATGATAAAAGAGGAATTGTTTCAATGGCAAATAGAGGTGCTAATACAAATGGATCTTAATTCTTTTTTACTTTAAATGCTTGTCCATAACTTGATGGTAAACATGTTGCATTTGGAGAAATTATCTCTGGTTTTGAAATTTTAGATTAGATTTCTGAAATATCAACTTATGGAGGAGATCCTAAAGAATTAGTACAAATACTAGCATCAGGAATATGCTAATGAATATATTAATAAATTAAGTTGTTATTCAATAATTTGAATATGTGAATTTTATAAAAACAATAATAAATTAAATGCAAGGAAAAGCAAAAAAAGGATAACGGAAAGCAAAAGCAGGTCATTCATTTCGTTAAGAGCTTAGTGAAAAATAAAAGAAGGATATTAAAGAAGCTTTTGACTTATTTGATGTAGATGGATCAGGTTGTTATAATAATTTTTATTATATATAGGTACTATTGATGAAAAGGAATTAAAAGTTGCACTTCGTGCTTTAGGTTTTGAACCAGGAAAAGAAGAAATATAAAACTTAAAATAAAATCTCAATAATAACAATGATTCTAAGGAAAATAAAAATACAATTGATTTTAATGAGTTTCTTCAAATAATGACAGAGAAAATGGTATATATTTATATTTATTTAATAATTTAGAATGCAAAAGAATCATAAGAAGAAATAGAAAGGGCTTTTCATTTATTTTCTTAAGGTAACGACAATTTCATCACTTTTGAAAACTTAAAAAAAGTAGCTCTTGAATTAGGAGAGACTATGTCAGATGATGAATTAAAGTTGATGATTTAAGAAGCAAATAGTAAAAATCCAAGGTAGAAATATAAATATATATATTTTAGTTAAGGTTATGTTACAAAAGATTAATTTTATGATGTTTTATCCAGAGCAACTAATTAATGAATAATAATTAGAAATTCAATAATCTTATATCATCTACGTTATTAACGATATTATTATTATTGAAAGAATTCCTTTACTTCTTCATTTGGTGGACTGAAATTAGAGAAAGTGTCACTTACATCGTCATCTTCATTTCTCACATCATCATTCATTTCTTAAACTGGAGAAAACTAGTATTTTTTCTAATCCTAAATATATTACTGGATATCAAAGAATGTGTCTGTTTCACCGCTATTCTACTATTGTAGTGAATTATTATTAAATTATTTTACAGTGCCCTCTTATTTATTATGGCTTCCACGATCTTTTTAAATCTCTCTATATTAAAGTTTATCTTAATCAACCAAAGGTTTGATTTTAGATTCCACATTTTATAAATAAACAGGCAATTTCTTAGGTGAAGTATTCTATTTCTATTTATCCATTTAATGATGAATAACTTACCCAGGATATTATCTATATGATAGACCACCACTAGTTTAAGAGGAATACACTATTTATTAAGGTGAAGGACCTTTATTAATATATCTACTTCTATCTTTTTTTTTGGAATTTCCATACATCAATTTTTTGCTAGAAAATGATAAAATATTACATTTATCTATCATCAAATTAAGATTTGATATCAAATTTGTTATGCATATTTTTAATATAAACTATTTAAGGGGGAGGAGGTGATTCAGTAATTTTAGGTGTTAGATTTCTTTAAGAATGTGATCTTGAATGCATATATTTATGAGGAGTTCTATCATTATATTTAATAGGAGATTTTGATTATGATTTTTAGGTATTATAATTTTGATGTTAATTTTAATAATTTTTTGGTTGAACATCAATATGTTCATATTATTCATATTATTAATATCTATTTGAATCAATCTATTTAGATTATTTTTATTTTTTATGTGTACCTTATATATTTTAATTTTCTCTTTAAGAAATTTAGATTAAATCATTTAAGTCTCTCAATTATTTTTAAATTGTTTTTATTTCATTTTTTATATCACCTTAAGTTTGTTCTTTAATATTTTCTGTAATTTATTAATTAATATTAATACTTGATAGTTGTTTTAATTATTAATATAATTCTTTTGTGTTTCTTGTTCCTATTTTATTTGCCAAATCTATTCCCATATTTATTAAGTATTCAACTACTTAATTTTATTTATCTACACTGAATTGACTTAGAAAGTTCTCTATGAAATATGAATGCCTTAAATGAAATTGCATAATAAATATAAATTTTTAATTTAACAATAAAAATTATTTTTTTACACAAATATTGTCTAATTAACTTTTGGTTTTAAATTTTGATATATTATCAATATTTGTACTACTCTATTACAGCAAATAATGAGTTAATTATTATAATAGATTTTCTGATGAAACAAAATTAACAATTAGAATTAAGTAAAGAGAAAGTCCCTTTATTCAAATTCATTCTTATAGGAGATTAATGTATTAAGAATTTTCACACTTAGCTGTTGGAAAAAGTTGTATTGTAGAACGCTTTCAAAACGAATAGTTTAGCTACAAAACTAAAGCAACAATTGGAGTGGAATTTATTAAAAAATTGGTTTAGGTTGATAAAGGTTTGGTAGAGATCTAATTATGGGATACAGTATTAATATACAATGTTATTATTTTTATTAGGCTGGATAGGAACAATTTCGTAGTATGATCAGAGGATTTTATCGTGGATCGGCAGCTGTAATCATTGTATATAGTGTCAACTAAAAAGAATCATTTGATTAATTGTCAATCTGGATGAATGAAATAGAATAACATGCACATCCTGAGATTATTAAAGTTTTAGTTGGCAACAAATGTGATTTACCAAGGGAAGTTGAAAAATAAGAGGCTGAGTCATTTATGAATAATAATCAATTTAGTTTATTTTTCGAAACATCTGCAAAAACTGGGGAAAATGTTGAAGAAGTATAAATTATATATACTATTACTATAGGCATTTGTATAAGCAGCTAAATTAGTACTACTAAAGTATCTTAGTAGCGAATCATTTAGATAAGCTACTAGAGTAAATAAAAAGTCAGCTGATCCCATTAATATTATTAAATCATCTAATGACAATTAATCATATGAAGGATAATCTCCAAGTCAATAGAAAAATTCAAACTCATCTGGATGCTGTTGAAAATTATTTATAAATTATATTTAGTTATTTTTAGTACAATTTTTAGAAATCTTATTTCTAAATCATAATAATTCATTGTTTAGGAGAAAATGTAATAATTTTGAAAATAAAATTATATGGTTTTAAGATTATATTTACTTTTAAATTGAATATTTCGAAAATAATTATTTATATTATCATCAGGGTATATCAGAAATATATATTATATAATAGAATTCCATTAATCTTTGATTTCCTTATTTAAAATAACTATTGGATATTGAATTAATCGCATGGAATAAAAGGAGGAATTCTTTGAAGAGTTTATACAAATTTAAAATATCAATATACCAATTCCTAAATCAGCAGTCACTAAAGAAAATGATATCTAAAAAATTTTATTTTATATTGATCTCACAAATGATAAAACATATTCAATGATTTTTTCTAAACTATCAACTTAACAATGTTTAGACAGACATTGGTAGGGTGGATTTTTAAGCGAATTTCTAATAAATAATGGAGAAAATAAATAATCTATTTTCTGCTATTACTTTAATAAGTTAATTGAATAAAACGAACAAATCAATAAATAGTAATTGTTTAGATTTAGAATATTTTTATAGGATTTCATTTCCATTTAACAAAACTATTAGATAAAGTTTGTATTTCATTTTAGACAACAATAACTTAATTAAAATGATTTTGAAGATTATATAAAAAAGTTTGTTTATTAAATTCTTGAAGGATCTTTCGATACGCTATTTGATATCATTTGTGTATATAATAAGTAGGATGTCTAGAAAATCAATTATTGTAAAATTTCATATAAAAAAATACATTTTAAAAAAACCAAATATTGCGATAGAATTGACTCTAAATTTATTGACACTTTGGATTCATTTTTGAATTACTTTTAATTTCAAAAGAATGATCCCAATATAATAGGATATATATGTTAAAAGTATGTACAAGATAGTGTAAATGTAGTTTTAAAAGTATTTGAAAAAGAACTTATTTAACTTTAAAAAGACATATCCTTAATGATTGAATTTCCAGTGAATCTGAATAATGAAATAGAAAAAAATTAAAATGTTAAGTAATATTTGGAAAGTTTGAAGAATATTATTGGTGAAATTTATTTTATATTTAAAGATATTTATGAGTTTGATGAAAAGGCAAAACAAATTCATATTGTTTTAAATAAATATAGAAATTAATTGGTAAAATATTTGAGTGATATTGTTAACGAAAATAGTGAATTTTAAAAATACCTAAAATTAATTTAAAAAGATAAATCCCCTGATGATGTTTTTAATTAATTACTTCAATTTAAATTTGAATTAGTTGGATCTGATAATGAAATTTTACAAAAATTTAAAAAGTATAATTATAATTAAGATTCTATAAATGCAACTTTGGGCAGGGTTATTATTGATACAAATTTTTGGTTCAAGTAATTCAACTAATATCTTCCATAAAGCTTGGCTTACCTGAAGAGAATAATAATCCCTCAAAATTAGAATATAAATTAAGATAAACCTCATGTTTTTGTATTAGGTATGACAAAAGTTGGAAAAAGTACATTATTGAATATATTAAAAAATCCAGAGAATATTATAGTTAAAGAGGATAAGACCTTTTATGTAAAAGAGAAAGATAATAATATTGTGATATCTGATTCAAATAATAGTGAAACATTTGTGTTGTAAAATCTGGAGATTGATAAATTTATATTTGTTGATTCTCCTGGGTTACGAGATACTTCTGTTCTAAATAGAGTTATAAATCATTACAATATCTTTAATTACATAAATAAAGTAAGATAAAAGATTTTGTTATTAATGATTGATGGAGAATATCTTATTAAAAATAAAAATGATTTAATAGATTCAATAGAAGCAATCAATTTGATGTTAGGAAAATAAAATAATGATAATGGTCTTGAAAATGTTATCCTTCCTGTATTTACTAAAATAAAAAATGATACTACTATGGAGAAAATTATTAATAAATGGTAAAGTGATACAATGAAAGATATTAAAGACCAATGTTAATTAAACATTTTGAACTTAATTAAAAAAGCAATTGATTAAGGAAATTATTTTAAAATTTACATTGCAGAAAACTATGAAATTGAATTTCAGAAAAAATAATTGGATTTAGAGATTAATACTTTGATGTAAAAACTTTTTGAATTAGATGAAGAGAATTTGGAAGAAGTCAAAGCACTAAAAGCATAAATCAAACTAAAAAAAGAAGAGTTAAGCAATTTATAAAAAGGGAATTTTTTATAAAAAATAAAACAGATTAAGGATAATCTTTTAAGGAAATGTGATGAAATATTGAAAGCAAGATAAAATACTGGTTAATCTTTAAAATTACAATTCGATTTAACTCCTGAATTGTGTCATAGTTTGAATAAGTTATTATCTCATCGGAAACAGTTTTATCAACATATCTTGAATATTATATACAGTGATTTCATTGTTAAGATGCTTTATGATGATACCGAAAGTATAAATGATAAATTTAAACCAATTTGGGATATTTATTTCATGTAATTAAATAAACTCTCAGATATACCACAAAATATAATTACTTAGGATATTTAGTAGTATATAGAATAATTGGATACTTTTAATAAGATTATATCTTAATTGGATGATAAAAATTAATACCTTTAAAAAGATGATTTTCAATAATTTAAATATCAAATAGCCCTCCTTTTATCTGCTTTTATTTAAGTTGTGCCTAGTTATATCTTAATGAAAAATGATGTATATAATTTATACTAGTAAACAAAATAAAAGGCTATAGTAACAATACCCCTTATTTTAATAACAAGCATATATATTCCTTTTATTTTAATATCTGGAACTAATGATATATTTACTAATCACCTTTTTGTGTCAGAAATAGAAAAAGTAAAATTAGAGAAATTAAATTTGCTTTAGATTTAGCAAGAGTTTTGGAAAGATTTTTAGAAAAGTAAATGAACCTTAATTTATTTTATATCAATTTAAAATTACATAATCATATTATAGTTATTTAGAATCTAAAACCAATTCTAAAACATTATTTTTTATTAATAAAAAATTAAATATAAATATAATTTTGTAAAATATCATTAATTTTTGAATAAATAGAAATTTTCTAAAACATTATTATAAAAGCCTTCTGAAAAAGATGAATTAATAAATATAAGTGTGGTCTTTATTTTTTAGTCACAATAGATAATAAATTTAGTTTATGAATACTCTAGTTATAATTATTAGGATAAATATCACAAACTATTCAATTATATAATTTTGATCGATTACAAAAAGTATAAAATATATATATATCAAATTAATAGATAGATAGACTTATCAAATATAAATAAATAATAATTTAATTTTATCTAAATAAATTATAGGAGATAAAATACTCATTTTTATCCATTATTTTCATAGTGTTCTAAATCTTTAACAAATTAAAAGTGATTCATATCATCAAAATCTTCATTGCTATCATTTTTGATTGGGTCTATAAAATATCCTTTAGTTTTTCGACTAATTGATTTGAATTCTACTTCTTTATTGAATGTAAATAAAAATTGATCTGGATATGATTGCTCTAGTAATTACTTAGTTTCTTCAGATACTTAGACTTTTCCTCTTTCTCCATTAGATTCCATTTTATTAGAAATCATAACATCAGCTCCATAGACATCATATCTTACAATTTCTGTTCCTAAGATTCCTCCTATTACTTTACCCTAAAATATATAATAAAATAATTACTGTATGTATTCCAATCCTCATGTCTAATCCATCAAAACCAATAATTGATCTCACTTATCTAATTATTTCAATCATTTTAAATCCTAATTCAATAACATTTTTTGCTTCTTAAGCTGGATTTCTTTATGTAACATCTACAATACCAAATGCAACATAACAATCTCCTATTGTATATAATTTATAAGCATTTTGAGTTAAACATATTTTGTCAAATTCAGTAAACAAATTCCTCAACATATTCACTACCTATTCTGGTTCTACTCTACTTGAATATTCAGTAAAACCAGCTATATCTGCAAATAATAAAGTAGCCTCTTCAAATTAATCTACAAGAACCATTCTTTAATTACTATTGGATAAGAATTGTTTTAATATATGTGTAGGTAATAAATACTTAACTAGATTTTAAGTTTATAATTTTTTTAATTCTAATGATCTTTTATTATTGAATGTACCTAAATCTTAAAAAAATAAATGATATTAAACAATAAATGTCATACAACTTTAAAAAATAGTATAATAAGCAATTGCAAAGTCTTTATAATGAATCAAAACAATCAATAATTATGCAATAAAGAGGCAGAGATTAAAATACACCTTATATTTAATTTTAATAATAGATAGTGAACAAAAGAAACAAATTAACAAAATACCTTCTGCTGCTTATAATTCTACTGATTTTTCAGGCATTAGAATAAATTCTATAAGAATACTAATTAATATGCCAAAGTAAGTTATTAAAAAGTATTAATATTTGTAAAATCTATGCTTTAATTTTTTGTTTTATAATATGGCTAAGATCAGTAATAAGATTGATGCTATAAAACGAATTACAAAAACTGCAACCCAATTCTATTAATCTTATAAATACAAAAGTGTAATTGTTTTTGATATAAATTATATGAAATGTAGAGAAAGCATAAATATTATATTAATACCTTCTTTTTAATCCATAAATTCTTAAGCTAATTCTTTTTAACTATTTTTAAAATCAAGATAAAATTTACTCCTTTCTAATTGTAAATCTTCACTTTTAAATTATTCATCTTCATCAAATTATATTTTCTCTAATTCAATTTCATAATCAGGTGCTTCATCTAATATTTCTATATACAAATCCCTTCTTAATTTTTAAGATAAATCATGTAAAAGGTTTGTTTAATTTTTCTCAAAAAATGATTCATCTTTTAAATTATTAGAATGAATACTCTCTTCAGCTTAATAAACAACAATTGGAGGCAAATTTCTGTTACTTTAATTTTATATATTGTTTTGACTACCAGAGTGCTATAATTATAATGCACCTGCAATTTTTTATCCATCTTAAGCCTTCATAATTAATGTAGGACCTCTTTGTCCTCTTTTTCTTAAAGGTTAAATGTCTTTAGATTACAAAGAATCTTTAAGTAAACTAAAACTAGTTGTATTATTATCTAAATTTTATTCTTTTTCAATTTTTCCATTTGACTCTCTAGGATAAACATCAAATTATTTAATTTATTAAGGAACTTTTAATTATCTTAAATCAGTTTTAGGAGTGACAGGATCTAATTTAGTTAATGTTGGCAAATCTGATTAAGAAGAATCAAATTTTGGAACAAGTCCTTTCTTTTTTCTTACTTTTTTATCAGTATTACGTTTGATAGAAGTTACAATTTACCAAGTAATCAATTCTCCTTTTCCTTTTGCATTTACTTTAAGTTAGTTAAATTAAAGATCTGGCATATTAAGTTCCATATAAGCTTCATTAGATAGAGTGATTTCTCCATCTTAACCAGTAGAACATACTCTACTTGTTGTATTGACAGTATCACCTATTAATGAAAATTATGGTTTATGATGACCTATTACACCAGCAATAACACGACCATAATGAACTCCAATTTTAATTTTAACATTTCCAGATTATCCAAATTTAAATTTTTTGGCATATTCCATCATTTCTAATGATAATTAAACAGCCTATATTATTATATATATATATATTTATACTCTCTTTACTGCACTTTGATTAATGAATTTAGTTCCTTAATCAACAGCTTTTAAACCTCCAGCTGCCATAAATGTTTTACCAACAGTTTCTATTTTTTACATACCATTTGATACACATAAACCATCAAATCCTCTAAATAAACTATCTAATAAATTAACAATATTTTCTTTTTCTACAGCAATCAAATCATCAAATCCACAGATATCACAAAATAAAATTGAAACTTCACCTTAATTTTCCTATATTTCAAATACTCCCTCTATAATTAAAATATAATTATAAATATACTTGCATTAATTCTATCTCTTATAAATTTAGGTAATAAAATTGATAATACATTAGTCATAGAAGTTGTTTCTTAATTAAGAGTAGCTGCCAACAAAAAATCTTACTTCTCCATCATATGTAATTTATATTGTAAAGATATAAATAATATTAATGTAACTAAAACAATTAAATCACCATTAATAATATTATAGTAATCAGTTCCTAAACTAAACTTTCTTATAAATCCAACAATAGACAAAGTAGCTATAATAAAATTTAATAATGGAATATGTAATCTTGAAAATATAATAATTAATATATAACATTAACTTAATAGGATATTATAAGTTCCTTATTATTCAAAATCTGAAATCATTTTTGTAAGCAATCTAATACTTGCAATAATTAGATTTATTTAAAAAAAATGTTTCAAATAAATTCCTGAACAGATTATTAATTGTATTATTACTTAACTGCTTATACTTAGAATATAAATTATAAAATATGTTTATGATTGGATTTCATGTTCATATGTTAATGAATAAATCATTAAAGCAAATACTTCTAAAAATATTAGAGATAATCCTAATTTAATTCTTTCAAATTTAATCCAAATTAATTTTGATAATCTTTTAAATTTCATTTCTGTATCTTTATTTAAAAATCTCAATGTAAATTTATTAATTCTATCTTAATTTACTTTTAATTCACATATAATATCTTAAATAGATATATCCATTTCATCTTTATTCTTTTTAAATACTTTACCAGCCAATTATGCAAATCTTTTTATAAGATTATGATATCTCTTTGCTCCATTTTTTTAAGATTTCAATAAATAATTCTATACTTCTTCAAATTAACTCTTATCAATAAGAGATGAACAAAATAATGGTTCAATATATTCAATTATACTACTTAAACAAAATTAAGTAAAACCATAAAATATGAAAGCCAACCATGTAGAAGATACAGTAAACAATTCTAAAAAACTTTCCATATTTTAAAAATAAGCAGATAAAATTGAAGTCATTAACCAACATATTAAATAAGTAGTAATAAAAGTTATCCAAGTATATTTGGTATAATTTGTAGATACTACTAATTTTACAATATCACTTAAGATCAATAATATTAATACCATTTATTTAAAGGTTTCAAATTAAATGTCATCTATAATTTATAATGATTAATAGAATAATGCAGCATCTAACATAGCATTTCCATTTATTTTTAAAATGAATGACAAGATTTTCTTTTTTTTGAAAATTTTGATATTATGTTTAAATTATTCTATATAAGTAATTGAATCCTTATCATATTATTTATCTAATTTTGATTTTAGACTCACTATTTATTAAATGAATAGTAAAATACTCTAATAAACAGTCAACCAAGCCCCAGTAAATATAGTTTAATTCTAACTACAATAAGTTGCATATAAAAGAAATAAAATGTAAATTATAAGTAAGGATCTATAAAAAGAAAAGACTAATAAATCATCATAAACTTCAGCAAAAATTCTACTTTCAAAGAAGATTAAACCACTTAAATCTAGATAATCTTTTAGGCAAATATCTGATGTAGGAATAACCCACATTTCATTTTATATAAATTTTCTATTTAAAGGATTATCTAATGATTTATTTGAAGTAACTTTACGATTTAGTTTTAATTTAGTACTTCCTCTTTAATATTATTGAATTTAAATTGGATAATGACAATATTATATTCCTATATTTGATTAACAAAACATATAATTATCATTATATGAATCACCAACAGCTAATACTCTTTTATTACCTATAAATTAAGTCTATATGATTTAAATTATAGTAGCCTTTTATTTTTAATCCATTTTATAAGCAATTAAAGAATTGCTAAAATAAAGAAGAAATTAGAAATGACTCAATAAATAACTATCCTATAAAATAGTATTGAAATATTCTCCACT